ATCAATTTGTGAAATCAAATTGAGGTATTGATAATTAGAATTATAATAATATTTATAATTATTTATTGAAGATTCGAAAAGGCCTTTTAGATATTTATTTAAAATTTTAAATGAATTTTTAAAGACTCGATAGTTACTTATTCAAAATTTATTGATGATTTTAATAATTTTTTTAACATAATAAGGTTAGGTAGTATAGAGACAAGACTTACTAGGTTCCAACCACTCTCTCTGTGCTACCCTCAGAGTGTTCTCCAAATGTTCTAGCCATGCCGAAATCTGAAATTTTGGGATTCATTTCACTGTCAAGTAAAATGTTGCTTGCTTTGAGATCTCTATGGATGATCCTCAATCTTGAATCTTGATGTAAATAGACAAGTCCTCTAGCAATTCCACAAATAATGTGAAAACGCCTTGGCCAGTCTAATAGCCCTCTTCTTCTATCATCTGTCATGTAAGATGTTCTTTGTAAAAATGTACTATTCAACAAGAGTTTTTGAAAATGAATCGCATGCATTGAAAAGATAAAACAACTTGTGATAAATTTATGCTACTCCTACTGAGTTAATTAAACAGATCTCATAAGAATTCTAACCAAAAATGAAGAAGTCCAAACTTTTATTAGGCAGATATTCATAAACTAGCATTTTCTCCTCAACGCAGCATCCTAGAAGTTTTACAAGATTTCGATGTTGAAGTTGGACTATAAGTGCTACTTCATTCTTGAACTCAACTAATCCTTGTCCAGAGCTTCTTGAAAGTCTCTTCACAGCAATTTGTTTTCCATCTGGCAGAGTACCCTGGAAAGGTGTTCACTTAAAGTTCAATTCTTAACAAACAAAAACCAAATATCCTAATAGTCGTTTTAACTAGAGCTCTTAACATTTACCTTGTATACAGGCCCAAAGCCACCTTGTCCTAGCTTGTTGCTTAAGGAGAAGTTATTGGTAGCCTTCGATATTGCATCTAACTCAAATACTGGGAGTTCCATATCTTCATTTTGCCTTTCGTCACTCCTGCTATTTTCTCTTCCTAAAAGGTGAAGAATTTAATGAAAATCAAATAGTGAGGAAAGAACCAATAATGGAAGTTATTATCAGAGTTTAATGGCAACATGAGTTTTTAAGGTAAAGAAACATGCCTTCTTTGTTTCGATCGCTCCAGTAAATGTAATAGGTGATTACAAGAACACCAATAACCACAAGAATGGTACTTGCAAGTATCAGTCCTAACTTCATTTTGGTCTTGCCTTTTGTTTCTTCATGGTCTAATTTAATAAAGCAAAGAGGAAATATGTGAATAGTATCTCAACAATGAAATAGTTTC